TCCTCTACTGCTTTCCCAGGCCATAGCAGAGAGCTGGATCAGAAGTGGAGCAGCCGGGACTCAAACTGGCACCCATAAGGGATGCCAGCACCACAGGCAGTGGCTTTACCAGCTATGCCACAGCACCAGCCCCTAAAGGTTATTATTGATAAATAATAACTTGGCCCTACCATTTTGCCATAAGTATTCCTATAGATTGATTTGGATTTCCTTTTTACTTTTACTAGGAGATTTTCTGCCTTCACATTCTTTCATAATGATGACTATCTTTCTGTGTTTCTGTGTGAAGCACATCCTTAAGCAGTATTTGTAAGGGTTGACTAGTGGTGACAAATTCTATCCATTTCTATTTGTTATTGAAGGTCTTTTTTTCACCTTTATTCATAAATGGGAGCTTTTCATGGTACTTCATTATGGGTTGACAGTTTTTCTTTAAGACTTGGACTATGTCTGCATTCTCTCCTACCCTGTAGGGTTTCTGATGAGAAGTCAGCTGTCAGTCTAATTGGAGTGTCATTGATGGTAATTTGGCATTATTCTTATACACATTTTAGAATATTTCTTTCTTATGTTTTACTGTTTAAAATTTGACTACTGTTTAAAATTTGATGGTCATGGTGAAGGTCTTTTCTGGTCATATCTATTAGGGGTTCTATGTGCTTCCTGTACTTGGACATTCCTTTTCTGAATTATGGAAGTTTCTGCTATTATTTCACTGAGTAGGCCTTCTAATCCATTCTTTCCATATCTTTAGGAACTCTTAAGACCCATATATGGGGTCATTTAATAGTATCTCACAAATCTTGAACACTATTTTTAGTTTTTCTAATTTCTTCTTCTTCATTTTATTTTTTGTGTGTGGTTTTACTGAGATATTGCCAAAGATTTGTCTTCTAGATCAAATATTCTTTCTTCTGCCTCACCAAGTCTGTTGTTAAGGCTTTATACTATATTTTTATTTGATGTATTGAAATTTTCATTTCATTTCTTCTTTTTTTTTTTTTTTTTTTTTTTGGACAGGTAGAGTTAGACAGTGAGAGAGAGAGAGAGAGAGAGAGTTCTTCCTTTTTCCATTGGTTCACCCCCCAAGTGGCCACTATGGCCGGCACGCTGCGCCAATCCAAAGCCAGTAGCCAGGTGCTTCTTCCTGGTCTCCCATGCAGGTGCAGGGCCCAAGGACCTGGGCCATCCTCCACTGCACTCCCGGGCAGAATCCGGCATTCCAACCAGGACTAGAACCCGGGGTGCCGGCACCTCAGGCAGAGGATTAGCCAAGTGAGCCACACCAGCTGAATTGATTTCACTTCAATATCTCTTATCTCGTAGGGAAATTTTTTATGCATGTTATGTATGGATTTATTTAATTCATGAATTTGCTTCTCATTGCTTTTGAGTAATCTTATGATTATTCTTTTGAATTCCTTTCAGGCATTTCATCAGTCTCTTCATCTTCATATTCTAATACTGGAATGTTGTTTTGTTCCTTTGGGAGAGTCATGTTGTCTTCCTTGTTCATGTTTCTCATATTTCTACATTTATTTTTGGGCATTTGTGGAACCATTGGTTGGTTTTCTCCCGCGATGGTTTTATCTTTGAAATATGCCTCTGTGGCTTAGTGGTGTGTCTGTTCCTTCAGTGGATATTCAGAGACGTGTGCTGGGTAGGGCTAGAAAGCTCTGGTCAGTTCTTGGATATGGTGCAAGAGTCCCAGGCGACACCCACGTTGGGTGTGGTAGATGTCCTCTATTGTCAGCAGGGGGTAGGTTATGATCACTGCCTCACCTCCTCTCTGTTAAGATGATCAATGCCCAGATGAGCCCACAGTGGCTACACACCACACACACACATTCAAAAGCACCACGCAAAAGGTCTGTGCAGTCCTCAGTGTGAGCAGAGCTCTCTGCAAGGACCCACCCTAGACACTCAGTGAACTCTGAGCTTCTGACACCAGACACAGTGGTTGCCTAGAGACCCAGCTACACTCCATGCCCTATTGTGCAGTCACAGGATTCCCACAGTCATAGCTCACTGGAGCAGGATCCACTCTCAGCCCCATGAAGCTGCTTTGTCCATAGAGAGCCAAGGTGTTGCCAGATCCTGGTTCCTGTTGTTGTTTTCCCCTTGGCAGTTTGAGTACAGGTTCCAGTGATATAGAGGGGAGGGGGTGCTTCACAGGCTTAAGTGAGCTCGGCCACCTGTCAACTCTCCAGGCCAGACTCAAAGTCAGTGGGGATCCTGGGTTTATCAATCAGATAAAATCCCTTAGTTACATGTGAGGCTGCAGCAGCCTATACTCACCTTTTTTTTTTTTTTTTTTGACAGGCAGAGTGACAGAGAGAGAGAGAGAGAGAGAGAGAGAGAGAAAGGTCTTCCTTTTGCCGTTGGTTCACCCTCCAATGGCCGCCGCGGCCGGCGCACCGCGCTGATCCGATGGCAGGAGCCAGGAGCCAGGTGCTTCTCCTGGTCTCCCATGGGGTGCAGGGCCCAAGCACCTGGGCCATCCTCCACTGCACTCCCTGGCCACAGCAGAGGGCTGGCCTGGAAGAGGGGCAACCGGGACAGAATCCGGCGCCCCGACCGGGACTAGAACCCGGTGTGCCGGCGCCGCTAGGCGGAGGATTAGCCTAGTGAGCCGCGGCGCCGGCCTATACTCACCTTTTAAGATGCCACTTTGGGGCTGACGCTGTGGCACAGTGGGTTAATGCGCTGGCCTGAAGTGCTGGCATCCCATATGGACACCGCTTCGAGTCCGGCTGCTCCTCTTCTGATCCAGCTCTCTGCTATGGCCTGGAATAGCAGTAGAAGATGGCCCAAGCCCCTGGGCCTCTGCACCCATGTGGGAGACCTGGAGGAGGCTCCTGGCTTTGGATCAGTGCAGCTCAGGCCATTGCAGCCATCTGAGGGATGAACCAGCAGATAGAAGACCTCTCTGTCTCTCTGTAACTCTGTCTTTCAACTAAATAAAATAAATCTTTTTTTTTAAATGGCGCTTCTCCCCTACTGTTAGCTGGGAGCCCTTCTGGATGGATGGGAAGCAGGCAGTGTGCTCTTGCTTCTTGCTTCTGGGGTTAAGATGGCACCGTGCCCCCACTAGTGATCAAGGCCAGACTCGATGTCCTGTGGCTCACAAGGTTCTCCCTTAGGCAATATCACCAGTGGCATGGCCACTGCAATCTCATTTCTCTTTCCTCTTGACACTGATTCTGATACTGGTAGGAGGGCAACAGAGGTGCATACTCACATAATCAATGTGCTCTGCAGGGCGGCTTCCTGCTCCAAGCCTGGCAGCTGGTCAGACCTCTTCAGCACCTCAGGCTCCCTTGTTTTCCTTACAGATTCTCATTGTCTTCAGCCCCTCTTACACACATAGGCTCATGTTTACCTAGGTGCCTTAATGTAGCAATCCTTGGAGTTCAGCATTTTGGGTCTCTTGAGTGGCCTTGGCTGACCTCAGTGGGGCTGCCAGTATGGGGGCTGTGTTTGAGCAGCTCCTAGGCTTCATCCCTTTAACTAGTAAGGCTGACTAATGTGTAGAGACCACTCCTCCAGCTGGAACCATGGAACCCAGAAGCAGACCAGAGCAGCATTTTGGCAACCCCGGTCTTCAAAACAGAAAGCTCAGGCCTCCAGTGGTGAGAGAGTACACATCCTTTGTTTGAAACAGGCATCCTGCTGACCTAGCTTTGCCTGAAGTGACAAAAACAAACTTAGTGCTTGCTGCGCTGGCTCTGCCCCCAGCCAGTGTGGGTCCTTGGCTTAAAGCTATGGGAGGTTCAGGGGACCTCCCCTGGAGAGTGCAGGGCAGTGGCCAGGCCAGCTACTGAGCCCACCTTGATTCTTTCAGAAGCGGGGAGAACTTGCACCACCTCCCCCAGCACGTGATTTGCATGCCCTGACGTTCCCCTAGCTGGGCATGTTGGCATCAGTGTTCCTACCCAGCACACACTCCTGCTCCGTCCTGTGTGGTCAGCAGTGCTCAGATTTCAGTGTATTCTGGTCACCCTAGGAGCTGGTTAAGAGTGCAAAGTTCCATTGCTCAGTAGCAATCGGATGAACACAGTCCTGGGCTCAGCCCTGTTCCAGGGGTCTTGTTGGTTCAGAGACAGGGCTACATGGAACCTGTGTGACAGCTACACCCAAAGGTCACCTGGGCACTAGGCACACATGAGGAAATCTCTGAGAAGGGGACAGGAGCTTGGCAGGCATTCTGAAGCTCAGCTTGTCCAAGAAACGTGCATTTCTTCCTCATTGTTGGGGGAAACTGAGGCTCGGAGAAGGGCAGTAGTTTGCCAGGTTACATCACTGAGAAGTAGGAAAACAAAGATCTGAAGCTGAGTCTGTCTCCAGAATCCAAGTTCTATGCGCCGGAGTGTTGCCTTGGAGCAATACAGCACATGGAATGCCCTCCCCTTCAAAGGGTCGAGATAGTGTTCTTTTAGTATAACATTTTGGAGACACCTCTTTTGTAAATTCAATTTAACTTTAGTAAGTCTATTAGGACAGATATGAGAGAGAATGTGAGAGAAAGGTGAGTGCTAGGGTTTGAATGTGTCCCTCCTAAGTTCATGTGTTGGAAACTTCGTCCCCAGTACAAGTGTTGAGAAATGGGGCCTTTAAGAGATGATCTGTGAGATTGCTACAGAAGTGAGTTTGACCCTCTTTGGCTCTCTCTTGCAGACCTCCTTTCATCACATGATGCTTTCTACTCTGTTATGTTGCAGCAAGAAATCCCCTACCCAATGTAGCCCCTTGGTTGTGGATATTCCAGCCCACATATGAGCTGAACGAACTCCTACAGTTTGTAAAATTACTCAGTCTGTGATACTGTTATAGCAGCACAAAATAGACTATCTTTTTTGTATCTAAGAACATTTCTAAAACCAGTGTAATAGGACGAGTTTTTTTATGTGTAGTTGAATCACTGAACTTTTGTTGGATTCCTTGTAAATAAAAATCAATCATAAATCCACCATTTAAAAAGCTCACTCATGACTGCCAAAGGTGATTGAAAGACTTTATTAAGCAGCAGCCAGAACTCCCTTGCTGAATTCACATCCTTCTGTGCCACACAGGCAAGCAAGACATTTTCTTAGGTGGCAGAATATTCAACTGCTGTTGCTGCAAACAAACTACTCCAAAAGATAGTGACTGGAAACCACCACCATTTTATTAGATCCCATGAGTTCTATAGGTTATGGTTGAGACTGGACTACTTTTGCTCCAAGTGGTGTTGACAGAGTTCATTGGTAATATTCAGCTGGCACTTAAACAGGTCTAGAGTGCCCATGTAGTCTTGGTCACATGTCTGGTGCCTTGATGAGGATGGCTGGAAGGCTGGGCTCCGTTGGGACTGCCAACTTGAGGGGTATACCGAGAGAACCTGGTAGAAGTTGTAGAACTTTTTTGACCTAGTCTCAGAAGTGATACTTTTGTCACATTCACTTGGTTACAGGCAAGTTTTAAGGTCAGCCAGAATCAAAGAAAGGGGACTTGGACTCCACTTTTTTTATTTCCTTATGTACTAATTTGAGAAAGAAAGAAGAACACTCCCATCCACTGCTTCATTACCCAAGTGCACAACACAAGGGCCAAAGACAGGCTGGGCCAGGCCAGACCAGGCCAGACTGAAGCTGGGAGCCAGGAACTCAATCCTGATCTTCCATGCCGGTGGCAGGAACCCAATCACTTGAACCATCACTGCTGCCTCTCAGTGTCTGCATTAACAGGAAAGCTGGAGTTGGGAGCTAGAGCTAAGAACTGAATGCAGGTACTCTAACGTGGAATGTGGGCATCTTCACTGGTAGGCTAATCATACGCTCTTAGACTTTACTTCCTGACTCCACTGGGTGAGAGCCTGTGGGATGGGAAATATTATCATGTCCACCTTTGGGAAATACAATCTGCCCTCTGGCCACAGCCAAAATACACGTGTCCAGCACCCCGGGGTCTCATTGCATTATGATGGCTCCATCTCCAGGATCTCATCACCCAACTCAGGTCCACATTTGAAGATCCTTGGGCATGGTTCCTCAAGGACAGCCTCTGGAAAACAGAAGAAGATCATTTAATGAAGAGACTCTGGGAGGCACATACATAAGGTCCAAAATGAGGCCTTTTGCCCATCTCAAAGGATCCATGCAATGCCATTTTAAATTCTTCTGAGTCTTTTTAAAATTAATTTACTTATTTGAAAGGCAGAGAGGCAGAGGGAGAGAGAGATCTTCCATCTATTGATTCACTCCCCAAATGGCTGAAATGGCCAGAGCTGGGCTGATCCAAAGCCAGGAGCCAGGAGCTTCTTCTGGGTATCCCATGTGAGTGCAGGGGCCCAAGGATTTGGGCCATCTTTCACTGCCTTCCCAGGCACATTAGCAGGTTGCTGGATCAGAAGTGGAGCAGCTTCACCTACACTTTTGAGTCTTAATAGAGGATTATACAATCCCACCCTGGCTTCACTTTTATTCTGAGGCTACATTTTCCTAATAGTGGCATAGATTTTATCTTGCCCACAGGAAGTTGGGGTGGCATGCTTTGTTTCTATTTGAAAACATTCTGCAGTAAAGTAACATTTTTATGAATAAACTACAGTTGTGTACTCATTCTGTTATTTGACATTTTATTCTTTCTTTCTTTGCTATTAAAGGTGCTATGAATATTCTTGGACAGCATTTTTTTCTTTTTAAAGATTTTAGTAATTTAAAAAGTATATTTCTGTAGTTTATAGACACAATTCTAAGAATATAATACACTTCCCTCCCTACTCCTTTTCTTTTAATTTTTGTGAGAAAATACTTTTAAATGTGCTTTTTTTTTTTTTTTGGACAGGCAGAGTTAGACAGTGAGAGAGAGAGACAGAGAGAAAGGTCTTTCTTTCCATTGGTTCACTCCCCAAATGGCCGCTATGGCTGGTACGCTGCACCAATCCAAAGCCAGGAGCCAGGTGTTTCCTCCTGGTCTCCCATGCGGGTGCAGGGCCCAAGCACTTGGGCCATCCTCCACTGCCTTCCCGGGTCACAGCAGAGAGCTGGCCTGGAAGAGAGGCAACCAGGACAGAATCCGGCGCCCCAGCCAGGACTAGAACCTGGGGTGCCAGCGCTGTAGGTGGAGGATTAGCCAAGTGAGCCATGGCACCGGCTTTAAATGTACTTATAATCACAGGTTAATTCTCCACTAAATTTTAGAGTTCAACAAGCAAAAAAGTTGAAAGGCCACTGTTCTACAGAGCTATAGAAAAAAGCTGTCAACAACAATAAAATCCCAAAATGTCAACTTCATTCATATACATTAAATTTTCTCTTTTGTACTTTTTATATTAGCTACCATACATCAGAGAAAACATGTGATATTTGTCTTTTGGGGTCTGGCTTATTTCACTAAGTATATTGGAATCCATTTACATTCATTTTCTTGTAAAAGAGAGGATTTTATTCTTTTTAATGACTAAGTAGTATTCCATCATGTATTTATACCACATTTTTTTTTTATCCAGTCATCAGTTGATAGTCATTTGGGTTAATTCCATATCTTAGCTACTGTGAATTGAGCTGCTCTAAACATGGGGATATAGGTAATGCTGTCATATGCTGATTTCATGTCCTTTGGGTAAATCCCAGGGGTAGGATAGCTGGGTCATATGCTAGATCTATTTTTAGATTTCTGAGGAATCACCATCCTATCTTCCATAATGGTGATACCAGTTTACATTACCCCAACAGTGTATTAGAGTACCTTTTTCTCCACATCATCACCAGCATTTGTTATTATTATTATTTTTTTATTTTTGGATGATAGCCATTCTAACTGTGATGAGGTGAAACCTCATTGTGTTTTTTTTTTTCTTTTATGGACTGCTTTTTTTTTTTTTTTTTTTTTGACAGGCAGAGTGGACAGTGAGAGAGAGAGACAGAGAGAAAGGTCTTCCTTTGCCGTTGGTTCACTCTCCAATGGCCGCCGCGGCCGGCGCGCTGCGGCGGGCGCACCGCGCTGATCCGATGGCAGGAGCCAGGAGCCAGGTGCTTTTCCTGGTCTCCCATGGGGTGCAGGGCCCAAGCACCTGGGCCATCCTCCACTGCACTCCCTGGCCACAGCAGAGAGCTGGCCTGGAAGAGGGGCAACCGGGACAGAATCCGGCGCCCCAACCGGGACTAGAACCCGGTGTGCCGGCGCCGCTAGGCGGAGGATTAGCCTAGTGAGCCGTGGCGCCGGCCCTATGGACTGCTTTTTTTAGACACATTTTCATTTATCTTGGAAAAATGCTGTAGAATTTTTTTCTGAATCATAGGATATGTAGATGTGCTATGGATTGAGTTATGTCTCCCCACTCACTCCAACTCATGTTTTAAAGTTAATCTCAATGCCACTGTAATTGAAGATGGGGTTTTTAGGGAGGTAATTAAGACCAATTGTATAATAAGGGTAGGACCTTAGTCTGTTATGGCTGGTGTCTCTGGAGTAGAGGAGGCGCTAGAGCACTCTGTCTGCACCCCAGAAAAGGCCATGTGAGGACACCGTGAGAAGGTGGCTTGCTACAAGACAGAAAGAGCACCCCCACCAGAGACCCAGCATACTGGCACCTCAGTCATGTACTTTTAGCCTCTAGTCTAGAATCATGTGAAAACCAATTTCTGTTGTTTAACTCACTCAGGTAGTAGTCATTTTTTTTTTTTTTTAGGATTTTATCTATTTATTTGAGAAGTAGAGTTTCAGACAGACAGAGGGAAAGAGAGAGAGAAAGTTCTTCCATCAACTAGTTCACTCTCCAAATGGCCACAATGGCCAGAGCTGAGCCGATCTGAAGGCAGGAGCCAGGAGCTTCTTCTGGGTCTCCCACGTGGGTGCAGGGGCACCACTTGGGCCATCTTCCTCTGTTTTCGCAGGCCATCAGTAGGGAACTGGATTGGAAGAGGAGCAGCCAGGACTAGAACCAGCTCCCATATAGGATGATGTCACTGCAGGCGGAGGCTTAGCCCACTACACCACTGCACCAGTTCCTCCATGGTATTTTTGTTGTGGCAACACAAGTAGACTAATATCTTGTTGAAAGAATCAGTTTCCTTTTTTTATTTAAAAGATTTTTATATTTAAAAGGCACAGTGACAGAGAGAGGTGGGGAGAGATTTTTTTCATGCACTGGTTCACTCTCCAAGTGGCTGCAATTGATCCAGGACAAAGCCAGAATCCAGGAATTCCATCTGGATCTCCCACTTGGGTGGCAGGTGCCCAAGCACTTTGGTCATTCTCTGCTGCTTTCCCAAGTGTAGGCAGCCTTTGGACAAGTCAAGGCTAATCTAGGCCTGTGGAATTCCTGGGACAAGAAAGTCACATACTCCTATCCTGAAGGAGGATGTTAATCAAGAACACTCTGTTAAAATTATCTGTGCTACCGGAGGCCCTGATAAGTTGCTTACATATGTTGTTATCTTTTGTGCTTCTTTGTGCTTCTTTGTTCTACAGCTGGTTATGTATAAACACCACTGAGACATTAGAATAAATGAGCCTTGATCAGCCTTGTTGTCTTGACTCCATTCTCTCTGCGTCTCTCTTTTCATTCCCACTCCCTCCTTCAGGTTCCGTTCTGCTTTTGCAGCTGGCCCACACACCCAAGTGTCTTGAAAGCAGCAGAGAATGACCCAAGTGCATCAGCAGGGAGCTGGATTGGAACCAGAACAGCCAGAACTCAAACCAATCCTCAAATCTGGGATGCTAGTGTCGCAAGTGGTGGATTAACCCACTAAGCCACAATGCTGGTCCCAGAATCCAACTTCTTGAAGCTGAGGACTGAGGTCCTTTTCCTGCTGTTAGCTCTCAACTTTTTTGACTTTCTTTGCCATGAGGATGTCTGCAACATGAACACTTTTTTCTAAAAAAGATTTAATTATTTATTTGAAAGGCAAAATTATAGAGAGGCAGAGGCCGAGAGAGAGAGAGAGAAGTCTTCCATCCTATGGTTCACTCCCCAAAGGCTGCAACAACTGGAGCTGGGCCAATCTGAAGCTAGGAGCCAGGAGCTTCTTTCGGGTCTCCCATGTGGGTGTAGGGGCCCAAGGACCTGAGCCATCTTCTACTGTTTTCCCAGGCCATAGCACACAGCTGGATTGGAAGTTGAGCAGCCAGGACTCAAAACAGCACCCATATGTGATGCTAGCACTGCAGGTGGCAGCTTTACCTAAACTATCCTCAACATGAACACTTTTAAAAATCAAAGCCAGTAAGGCAGTCTCCTTTCATAGTAAAGATCATAATTTTGCATTCCAAAATGACAACCTATCACTGAGGATTTCTGTTGGTTCAAATCAAGGCGTAGTCTCGCTCACTGAAGGGGAAGGTCAGGGAGGACATTATAATAAAGAGGCTATCGACAGCTGTTAAATCCACCACCCATCCTCCTTCTACTGCGTGAAGTTTGTACATGCTTTTCCTTGGGGGCTGGTACAAAGTTCAAGTTCTGCCTGCACATGTAAACTCTTCCTTGTCTGTAGCCCTAATCATAAGAAAAACAAAACCACTCACTTCTACTCTTTCTCATACTAATTGTGGACCAGCCTTGGTTCTGGTCTGCTCTACCTAGAAACTCCAATGATGGGTGGGGGGTATATTTTCCACTCCCTTTTGGCCTATGTGTAGCAGAAGTGGCACTGACATTCAACCTATTAATTGGGAGGGAGCCAGTCTTCAGTAGTGAATGTGGCAGGTATGACTACCAGGAGGCAGGGATTACAGGGACCAAACTGGAGTTGGACACATTTGCTTTGTGGCCCACCCTAGGTCTATTTTGCAAAAAGGTACCTGAAAATAGTATGTACTCTGTTAGTAGTAGGATATAGTAATTATATATAACATGCAAATAATCTTTTCTTTTTTTAAAAAAAGATTTATTTATTTATTTGAAAGGCAGAGTAAAGAGGCAGAGAGAGAGAGAGGCCTTCCATCCACTGGTTCACTCCCCAAGCGGTCGCAACAGCCTGAGCTGGGCCAATCTAAAGCTAGGTAAGAGGAGCTTCTTTCAGGTCTCCCATGTGGGTGCAGGGACCCAAGGACTTAAG